TTCCTTATATCAAGAGCCCCTCACCAGCATCAAGGAACCTCCTTTGAGGGGTGAACGATACGACGTCGTAATGATGCTGGTAAAATTATTGACAATATGTTAGACAAAAGGACAAAAGTGCGACTAATGTGACATTTTCCTGTGGCTTTGTCAAGCTCCTGGAGAGCGAAACGTTGCCACAATAAAATGTCACATTAGTTGCACTTGTGTCCTTTTACCGATACGACGTTGTTAGTATACAGTGCACAGCAAAAACTATATTATTTGCTTCTTAATATAAGCTGAGGAAAATCAATAAATTTAAAATACAATACAATACTTTGTGATAGTTAATGTTTATCCAATTTTGTAAAAAAAAAAATGCATCATGTGGACACTTTCAGTGTATCCTGTAATATAATAATAATGTATCCTGTAACCTGTGTATCGTTTTGAATAATAAAGAATATATATAAGTATGTATATAAGATGAGGTGGTTGAGGAAGTAGAATATTCATGTAGTCTCAAGGAGAAATCTTTGTATTTTTTTTTTTTCGAAAGTTATATTTACTTCTCCTAGGTTATGGCTCCTCATACCTGTACCTAGAGGACGCCATCTATATTATTATTATATTGTAGATTCATGCATATCAGCAAAAATAATCATTCTTAACATAAAAAAGTATTGGCACGGTGCCTTCCAGCTGTGAAACAACGCCTTGTACCGGGTCCAAGAGAACACTCCAGGAAATACTGGAAATACTGAGTGGAAGACAGCGCTGAATGTAAACCATGTAATGTACACTCCCAGCATACAAAATTACTAACAACCGTTGTCAAGAATATCTTTCTCCAATTCTGTAATAAAAGTTAGGAACCAAGACTAATATCGTACTAGCGGGAATTATGTAGTACTACCTACAGTGAGGAGCCAAGACTCGAACACCAATTATACAGTGATAAAGAACTGTAATGGGTTACTTCATCGTGCGAAGGCCAGTCTTAATATAACTGAATTTATGAATAGAGCTAAAGTATACACAATGAATAAAGCTGCACAAAGGGAGGAAATTGATTTTTTTTATATTATTATATTTAAAACCTTGACTGAATATTCATTTTTATTGTTAACTGAATATATAAGAGAGGAATAAATCCCTCAGGGTATATATCCTGTGTACTTATATACATGTATTATTAGTATAATCAAAAGTAAGCGCTAAACCCACTACAAAACTTAGGGTTAACATATATACATGTAGAAGATAAATAACTATATACCTAATATATTCATGTATCTGGGTATTCATGTATTTAGATATTCATGTATCTGGATATTCATGTATCTAGATATTCATGTATCTGGATATTCATGTATCTAGATATTCATGTATCTGGATATTCATGTATCTGGATATTCATGTATCTGGATATTCATGTATCTGGATATTCATGTATCTGGATATTCATGTATCTGGATATTCATGTATCTGGATATTCATGTATCTAGATATTCATGTATCTGGATATTCATGTATCTGGTTAATCATGTATCTGGGTATTCATGTATTTAGATATTCATGTATCTAGATATTCATGTATCTGGATATTCATGTATCTAGATATTCATGTATCTGGATATTCATGTATCTAGATATTCATGTATCTGGATATTCATGTATCTGGATATTCATGTATCTAGATATTCATGTATCTGGATATTCATGTATCTAGATATTCATGTATCTGACATTTATTTTTATATTCCTGGAAGTAATTTTCACGTAACTTATATATTCGTTTTATATATTTTTTAATGTTAATAATTATGACATAACAATTACCCCAGTGGAAATTAGCACTAGCTACCATTTAATTGTATTTTCTTAGCCTAGGCTAACTTACATGTTACTATATAAGGCAACAGTAAAAATCTAAACATGTGTAATAATAATCATGGGGAGCGCTAAACCCGTAGGGTTATACAGCACATGTGTAATGAGCCAGAATAAAAACTTACTTCATCCCAACATACTGGAATCCTCTCCAGTAAATTTCATAATTCAAATAGTCAGCAAACGTTTAATAATATCAATGATTGTCAACAATAATGTGAACACTCACCTAGTCCCATACACGTATTAACCGAATTAATTAATCCTCTAATCACCAGGAAATAAAGTTTTATAACAGGTCAGTCACTTACAGTGAGGAGCGCACATCCTCCCCTCACACCCACCACAGGTACACTGATCTGCCATTTTTCATAAAGGTGCGCCATTATCAACCTTCCTGTGTAGTGTAAATCTAATAAATACTTGTGCAATATGCACATATATTTATTTACAAGCGATAAACAACAGAAAGTTATGCATATTCATATGAACGTATAGGTGAAATTAGAGTGTGTTTTAACTAGAGGTTATTTGAAATGGAGGAGTTTATCTGGCAATGATGCTCTGTGGTGTAGAGAGGGAGTGCAGATGTGAGGGTTTAGCTTCTCGTCCCCAGCTGATCTAAATGCTGCCTTAGGTCATATTACATTGGTCACTGGCAAGGTCACTCTTGATAAACAATTATTAAATTTATAAATTGAAACGCAGCTTCAGGAAATCGTACTCAGGTTAGGTAAGGTTTGTCAGGAAACAGGACACGTGGTTCCTGACGCGGGTTTCAGTCATATGAAGACCCACAGCTGGAGCTTTTGGTCATCTGACCGAGGCCTTCCACTGGCTTACTAGTCCACATCTTTAAAAATTATGATTATAATCACAAACATTCAACTGATACCTGGAATATATCTGGAGAGGGTTTTGGGGGTCAATGCCCCCTCAACCTGCATTGGAAGTTCGCAGAAAGCTTTAGAAAATGACGCTGGACCTCTCGTAAAAAAACTAACGCAATAAAATAGAGACAGGTTGCTAAATGATGTCAACAAGAGCTCTCTACCACAAGGTAAATACTCAAATATATTAACACTATCATATCAACTGGAGTCTAGTAGACGATACTGAATTGATAACAAAATTTCTGCATCCTAGAAAAACTGAAGGAACATTATTGGTATCGAAAGGAATTTATCTTATCAGTAATCTCTGTGAAATCTGCAAGTTCTTTGAGACCTGGCTACCAGGTGAATTAATTTTAAATGATGCACTGGAAAAAAAATGCCTGGTTGTAGGAAGCCTCACTGTGGGTGGATGGAGGATTCTGTTATTATATTCATATGGAAGCGCCAAACCTGTAGGGGTAACACAGCCCCTGTAGAGAAAGAGCCATTCATCAGCATCAATGAGTTTTCCTCTTGACCCAGATCTCAAAGTTTAGCTTAGATAAGACTAATGTTAAATAATAGAAGTATAGGTTCCTGAAATAGCACAAGATGGCGTAACTATCTTGGACAAATTAAAGTTTGCTAAGGCACCCAGTTCATTTCTGAAGCAACGTGGTATTTCCACGACACTGTAATCTGAATCGCTGTATGTCTGTGATTCAATCCCCAGCCGGGTGGAAACACTGGGCATGTTTCCTTACACCTGTTCACCTAGCAGTAAGTGGGTACCTGGGTGCTTGTGGCATCCTGGAGGACAAGACTGAAGGACCACAATGGAGATACAACAGTCTTTGATGACACACTGACTTTCTTGGGTTATTCTGGGTGCTTAACACTTTCAGTTAAAAATCCGAACAAATCTTATCTTATATTAACTGGCCTAACACATTTACAGCGTGGCGAGCTGGAATTTGAGAACCATTACAGGGCTAGGAGGGAATGGTGCATGACTGTGTCGTATGAAAGTCACAAAACGACTTTCATACGACTTGTTGGGATCACACAGCACCTTGGGAATGGAATGTAATCAGGTTTGATCAGAGGAAAGGGAAGGCTGCTCCAATTCCTTGGAGCCCAAGACTTGTGGTTTCCAGGAGTCATCTCCCTCCCCCTTTAAAGAGAACCTAAAAAACACATTGGGCCCACTGGAAAAACCACTTATCTTCACCATCGTTATTACGTTAGTGTACCTTCATTAAATTTTTCACTGACCTTGACTGCTGCAGACCACACATGGACACTTATTACCTCAATAAAATTATAATTAAAAGCATGGGGAGCGCTAAACCCGTATTATTATTATTACAATTATGGGGGAGCACATGTGGAGGGGATGGAAGGCATTTAGACTCGATTCAGGGGACTGGAGCACAGATCCAGTTCCCTAGATCAGGAGCCCCTCACCAGTGTGAAGGAACCTCCCTTAAGAGGTCTTATCAATGAAATGTATGTACACTACACTTGTAATTACAGTTAACCTTTGAACAATAATGTATAATGTCTGACTGCAACATACATACAAAAATAAACAAATCTTTCTTGGTACATTACTATTTTTAGTTACTATTTGATCCTATGAATTATTATAATGAAAATAGGCACTAAACTGACAAGGTTCATACAGCTCAATCCTACAAAGCAGAGGTGTATTTTAATCAGGGGAAGTGATAAATTCACAGGGATCATACAGTGCCTGGGAATGAGGCATTCTGGCATAGTTCCTTGGATCAAGAGCCTCTCAGCAGCATCAAGGCACCTCCCTGGAGAAGTTTATAATACTGAAGAACTTTTTCTGCCTCCATACGCACCCTGTAACCTGAAACGTGATGTCAGCACACTTCTGGCAATACAGCAACTGGTAGATTTCTCTCTGGGTTACTCGGCCTTGGCAGTGACCCATAGTGTTAAAAAAAAATATATTGGCCATTTTAGGCTACATTATACTCAAAGGGCATATTAGTACAACCAGAACTAAGCGTTAAACCCACAAGTATCATATGACAAAGGGAATAGAGGTGCAAGGTCAAAAGATATTGGAAAAAAAAAAAATTATTAAACCACCCACTCTACATTTAACTTTTGCATACTTCGCTTTTATCTTTACATTTAATGTTTTTCACATGTACGTTCCACATATGCTATAGCAATAATGTATAAATACAAGGATGGTTTGAAGAGAAACATTCCTTAATAATAGCTTTTTATTTTTTACATTATATTTTTATAGTTTCTTAACATATGAAATGGTGCAGCTGACCTCAGTATGTTATGTACTAGTACAAGCTTTGAGAGCAGTTTAATGTTTTCTATTTAAATTGTCATTAGTGTAACTTATGAGTGAGCTAAGTAGTTGATCTTAATTACAAGAGTTATCCAAGCAGCAATATTCTCAACCAAAAATTTATTTTCATTCTGATTTGAATGATGGAAAAAAATCAGAGCTTAGCAAGTAAAATATTCAGTCACAACCAAGGTTCAAAGTTAAGAGAATAAATCCGTTCACATTTAATTTCACTGGTTGAATTAATCCATTGGTCCCATGTCTGCTGGCACCCCTCCTGAAGCATCCTCTTTGCTTTTCTTAGAGCCAGATACAATGTCATCAATCCTCAAAAGCATTACTGCAGTCTGTAAGAAACCAAAAGGAATATGAATAAATATATAAAACTGCTAAATATATATTAAATTATTTAGGAAGGGTACAGGACAAAGAGCAAGTAGTTACACTGAAGCATGTAAGTGAATAACACCTGGATACGGGAAAGCAACTATTTGTCACATTAGTGGACTTAGAAAAGGCATATATAATAGGATGGAGAGGGAGCAATGTGGCTGATGTTGGAAATGTATTGAATACATAGTATGTTATTAAAAGCAGTAGAGTAACTTTATGATAGCGAGGCTCGGGTTAGGACGAGTAGGAGAGAAGGGGACCATTTTCCCATAAAAGCAGGCCTCCTGTAAGGATGTGTGATGTCATCACGATTGTTTAATATACAGTATTTAAAATGGGGATGTAAAAGAAGCAAATGCTAGTGATAGGAGAGCCAAGGGAGTAAAGGATGAAATCTCTTTTTTAGATTGTAAAGAAAATTACAATTGGTGGTAGATGAGCTCAGGAGGTGCATTAAAAAAGGAAACAAAGTGAATGCAGAAAAGATAGAAATGATAGTAACAAAGTTTAGGCAATGAAAAAGTGAAAATCAGATTGAAAGGAGGAAGCATGAAGGAAGTGAATGTACTTAGATATTTGAGAGTGGATGTGTCGGTAGATAGGTCTACAGAAGATGGTGTACCATAGAGCCTTTACTTATTTTAACAAGGAGGAAGCAGTAAACATAGCACATAATGAATGGCAGGCATTCAGGTATGATCCAAGGAAGAAGAAATCAAAGTATAGATGAAGGGGGAGGGGAAGGATATGTTAAGGTGTTTAGAAAAGGGAATTTATCTACTGAGAAAAAAGGAGGAATATGCAGTACCAGAGTACAGTGATGCTAACTTTTTATATGGATGCAAGACCTGGACTTTAACACTGCAGCAAGGAGGCCAGAGGCAGTGCTGTGATGTTTGAGAGCAATGTGGTGTGAATATTAAGCAAATTACAATGAACATAGCAATCAGATGGTGTGGTGTATGAAAAGGATAATTGAAAGGGTAGAAGGGTTCAGATAGTTTAGTCATTCAGAACAGAACTGAATAGTTTGAACAAGAGGGTGTATAAATGTTGGGTGGATGGTAGTAGTAGTAGTAGTAGTCAGGAAGGGGTAAAAGAGGTTAAGGATGCTAGGGAAAATAAGCATCCAGCAGTCTTGCCCATACTTATATCTAGCAAAAGATAAATGAATAAAGAAATTATTATGTACACATATTTGATGAGGTTAGAGAAAAGAAGGCATGGCATTATCAGACCTCTTAAGCCTCCAAACAGGCTTGGAAATTAAAAATTACGACAAGGTTGTCAGCCCACCTTAAATTACCGTATTCGTGAAAAAACAGTGTTCTGCAATAATCATAGTTTGCCCTACTTCAATACTATAAAGGATCAAGTGAAATATTATAAAATACAATGAGCTTACCTCTACAGATGTCTTGTAAACTTGTAATTTCACTGCAAGAGGCTCCCAGATTTTATGAGCTTTCATGTTGGCAAGTTCCCCCGTTTCTCCATCTACACCCCATGATGTTTCACCACTTACATGTTTTGCTCGCAAAGCTGTCAGCAACCTGATAATATTGGCTCCACAGTTCTGAGCCAATGTGCGTGGAACTACCTGTAAAATAAAAGGAATCCTGTGGTCACTAGACATTACTGACCTAGATATAGTTTGAAAGGTGATCAAAGAGGGTACATTATCTCATCTACAATTTTATATACAATACATACCAAGACATAAAAGTTTCTATGAAATCTTTAAGGCCTATTTTCCAATTTTTTCCAAATACCAAAGCTCTCCTACCAATAATATATTTAACAAATAATGTCAGTTTGTTATTACCTCTAAAGCCTGGGCAAGTGCAGTATAAGGCCATTGCTTTACACCCGACACAGATTTGGCTTTCTCCTGTAGAATCTGCGATACAGCCATTTCCACAGCTCCTCCACCAGGTACCAAGAATGGTTCTAATACGAGGTTTCGAGCCACACCGAGGGCATCATGCAAGTTGCGTTCAACTTCATTAAGGATATCCTTACTAGGGCCTCGGAGGAGAAGGGTACATGCTTTTGGATCTTTACATTCTGTGATGAATGTGAAATACTCATCACCAATCTGTTGTGAGAAAATTATAAATTTAGGAACACATGCACAGATGAAGTTCTACCAACAGAAAGCACACACTATAATTAAGGTTTAATCAGCATAAATCATCTTTTTACCATTTATAAAATTAGCAAAGGAAGCTTACACAACCATCACTTACTAAGGAATTATCTGGACAATATAAAAATTACTGCAAAGTGACTGACCCACCAAACACCTGGGACATAAGGACCTTAGAGATATTTTAAGTCTTGGGGAAAAGTCTGTGCTGTTTCTTGGGACCCATTAAAGTATTCAACTTCGACCTTATTTATTTAGTACTAGTTTTAAAACACTTTTACTATTACATTTTGTTAAATCACTAAATCTTAAATTTAGCTTTGCCAGTAAAGAAAAAAGTACAAGGTATTTTAATACAACTATTAACACTGTCTTGGAACTACTGTGTACCAGGAAATAACTGACAAATTTAGATTATTTTAGTAAAGGATTAGTTTCAATAACACATAAATAACCCACATAGAAAACGAACTTATGACGGCATTTCAGTCCAACTTGGACTATTAACTAGTCACACAAATGTGAAGGGAAGGGAGCTAGAATATATACAAGAGAGTGGGGGACAGGAGAGGTAGCACTGGAGAAAGGAATATACGTAATTAGAGTTGTAGTAGTAGTAGCATTGGTAGATAGTGGTGATGTTGGAACAGTGAAGAAGTTATAAATATGAAAGTAGCAGTGGTAGTGAAAAAAGGGGCAGAAAGTGGAGTGTTAGTGAAGAAATACTAAAAGTAATAGTGGAGGTAGTCTATAGAAACAAGAGAACAGAAGAACACTGCAGGGAAGCTAATGGCCCATAGGGCCATTAACTTCCCTGCAGGAGGAGAAACAGAGGAGGAAGAGATACAGATCAGGTCAAGTTATGAGTGTTTTGAAGTTTGGAGCATTTGACAAAGTAATGAGAGAGGAATGGGAAAGAAAGGACCAAGATTCATATTGGGAATATTGTGTATAATGCTTCAACAAGATGGTGTCTGAAGGTTAGAAGGGTAGGCACGGCTAACAAGATATATTTTGTTGAAACACTATTGAAAATAAGTACAACCAACATCATATTACAGCTGTCCAGAATGGTTTATAAAAAATGTTAAGAGCCTATGACATTTAATATGGAGCCTGGATTATTCTCTCTCATGTAAGGTATTCTAATAATACTATTGATTGGTTAAAACAGGAATTTTGTGTGCAAGTTAATCAGTGACTGAACTGATGAAGGAACCAACTTGCAGATTAGTACTGATTGTAACATGTGACTGAGGCATCACAATATAACATGGAATTTATTTATTTTCTATTGTAGTCAAAGTGTATATACGAGGATGTCACTTGTTTCCCACAATTTTATTACAAATTTTATTTTAAGATATTGTACATGATTCATTCTCTAGCTGTCTTTCCAGAAGTGTATAATCATCACAATTTCAAGTAAGGTGCCAACTTACCTTCTTTATCTCAAATAGTCCTGCTCCAGTACCCACATCCTCCTCTTTCAATTCCTCTGTACGGTTAGCGATGGTTGCCCCACAAGCACGGGCAATTCTGTTATTGTCAGACTTCTTAACACGCCTAATGCAGGTAATACCAGCTTTCACAAGGTAATGCTGAGCCAAGTCAGAAACACCTTTTTCAGTGATGACAACATCAGGTTTTAAGGCAATCAAATCCACACACAGGGATTTGACATGCTCTTCTTCAATTTCCAGCATCTGCAAAAATTTGAAAACATGAGCTATATTAATATTTGCATATGTGTTTTTTTTTTTTGTAGTAGCGATCTATAGAATTTCAGTGGGATACAGTCGGTGTGCTGAAAGAAAGATGTACAGAATTATTTACTGTGCTTTCCATAATTTTTTTTTTTTTATTATCACACCGGCCGATTCCCACCAAGGCAGGGTGGCCCGAAAAAGAAAAACTTTCACCATCATTCACTCCATCACTGTCTTGCCAGAAGGGTGCTTTACACTACAGTTTTTAAACTGCAACATTAACACCCCTCCTTCAGAGTGCAGGCACTGTACTTCCCATCTCCAGGACTCAAGTCCGGCCTGCCGGTTTCCCTGAATCCCTTCATAAATGTTACTTTGCTCACACTCCAACAGCACGTCAAGTATTAAAAACCATTTGTCTCCATTCACTCCTATCAAACACGCTCACGCATGCCTGCTGGAAGTCCAAGCCCTCGCACACAAAACCTCCTTTACCCCCTCCCTCCAACCTCCTAGGCCCTACCCCTTCAGCTTTGTTTCGCTTAGGGCCAGGACATCCAACTTCTTTTCATTCATAACATCAGCAATCATCTGTTTCTTGTCATCCGCACTACATCCACGCACATTTAAGCAACCCAGTTTTTAAAGTTTTTCTTCTTCTCTTTTTTAGTAATTGTATACAGGAGAAGGGGTTACTAGCCCATTGCTCCGGCATTTTAGTCGCCTCATACGACACGCATGGCTTACGGAGGAAAGATTCTTTTCCACTTCCCCATGGACAATAGAAGAAATAAAAAAGAACAAGAGCTATTTAGAAAAAGGAGAAAAACCTAGATGTATGTATATATATATATGCATGTGCGTGTCTATGAAGTGTGACCAAGTGTAAGTAGGAGTAGCAAGATATCCCTGTTATCTTAGCGTGTTTATGAGACAGAAAAAGAAACCAGCAATCCTACCATCATGCAAAACAGTTACAGGTTTTTGTTTCACAGTCATCTGGCAGGACGGTAGTACTTCCCTGGGTGGTTGCTGTCTACCAACCTACTACCTATAATGAATAACAGAAAAGAATTAGCAGCAATAATAGATATCAGAATTTTAGAAAAGATACTAAATAAAATGTGGTTGAACTTCTCAAACTTATCGGAATTACTCAGCATGCAGTGCCCCAGAATCCTTAAAAACATTAAATTAATATGACAAACATGAGTTAGGGACACATGAAGTAATCATTTAACAGGTTGCATGGAAAACAACAAAGACAAGAGGTGGAAGTGAGGTAAGGCAGGGAGGGAAAAAATATAAGATGCAAAAACATATAAAGTAAATTTTCCTAGAAGAAACCAGAAAATCCATACCTTTGTGAAGTCAGTCTCTGTGGAAAGCTCCACACTGGTTTGAGATTCTCCTTTCTTGTACTCGAGGGGACAATCAAGAAGAATAATACGTGGGTTTTCAATACGGCGCCTCATTTTCTGATGGGTTACATCTTTATTTACCATGATACCCTTCAAAACTTGGCAATCCTCAATACGTCCTCCAGGAATCTGGAAATGATTAAAAGATCATCATACAGTCAATGACTTAATAAGCAAGAAAAATAATAATTCTCCTTTTAAAATTACAATACAGTAGGACCCCCATATCTGCAGGGGATACATTCCCAGGACATGCTGCAGACAGTAGCAAACCCTACACACAAGTCCTATACATACTTATTATAAAGTTTAATGATAAATTATGCACAATAAGTGGAGAATTATCCCTTATTCACTGATGGGAAACCACTTCATGGCTTCTCCAAGGCTTTGAAAAACTGCCAGTTTTTATACTTTTGTACTTTGGGGCAATTATTATGCAAAATTAAGAAGTATTTTTAGGCCACAGTAAACGATGGATATTTGAAACCAAAAATACTGAATCAGTGGATACAGGGGTTCTACTGTATATTAATACACTACTGCATTTTGATTAAGCAAACAGTGACCTCCGACAAACATCACTTAAGATATTTCTTTTTAAAAATTAAACTTTACCTTGTAGTCTTTTGATATAAACCTTGCCATAATTGAAATGACTACCTCAGAGCAGGCATTCTTCATTCATTCAAAAAGTATTACCCGACTTTTTAGTTTGGCCTTTCACACGAGAAGTTAATCCCTGTCAATCTCCTTTCAACAAACCGGCCGTATCCCAACGAGGCAGGGTGGCCCAAAAAGAAAAACAAAAGTTTCTCTTTTAAACTTTAATAATGTATACAGGAGAAGGGGTTACTAGCCCCTTGCTCCCGGCATGTTAACTGCCTCTTATGACATGCATGACTTACGGAGGAAGAATTCCGTTCCACTTCCCCATGAAGAAATAATTAACTTGCCTTCTCAATTCTTGCCCATTTTTTAATATCAATTTCCTTACGACCTCCTTCATCAGTGGTAACAGTCTTGACAGCTTGGAGAGCAATAGAGCATGCCAAGTCTGCATACTGACCCATGAACTTTGTGCCTATGCATGATTTTATAACATCAATTGTCTGTTCCTCACTGTTGATATCAACTGGTATACTGGAAGTTGCAAAGAAAAAATAAAATGTTAAATAAATTTCATTTAAAAGACAAGGCAAATGCATAAGAATTTTGAAAACAAGCACCAGACTGGTCCAAGCTGCAAGAGTAGAAAACTCAAAACAATTTTAAGGTATATCAAAAGTACATTTAACATTAAATAACTTCAGTGATGAGAAAAAGACCAATTTTATAGAGTAATAGAGCCATATCAACTAGACAAATGGTTTCTGAGAAAAACAAGTACAAGATAGTTAGCAACCAAACTAAAACTAAAATTAAAATAAGCTGGGGAACAGTGAGACAAACATTTGTAAACTTTTTACATACTAACACTGAAGGAGTAATTTAAAAAGGCTAGAGCAAAGAGACAGTATACATAAACTTGATATTGTCAGTCTAACTGAAGCTGAAATGGAAAACCAAACCATTCAAGTCCCAGAAATGCTTTTTATAGTGGCAAAACTCCAAACTAAAAAAATTATGGTAGTTAATGTATAAAAATAGTTAAACTGGGTTTTCATTTTGCAAACCCCAAAGAAAAAAAATGCATTACTGTTTACCTAAGATTATTTTTAAGTGCTGAAATGGCATCATCAAGAGCTTGTCTGTATGCCTGGATGATGACCACAGGATGCATCTTTTGTTCTAGAAATTGTTCAGCCACGGCCAGCATTTCTCCAGCAAGGATCACTACACTTGTAGTACCATCTCCAACCTGTTTCAATACACTTGTGTATATAAACATATTGCACAGTACAGATTTTAAACTAAAACAACCTCAATGTTTTAATTTTACCAGAAATGAATACCATTCAACTTGGTTGAATATCCCAGTAAAACCATACGAAATATTGTTACCTGAATATCAGAAATGAATACACAAAATTTTGAGCATTTAATATAAGCACAGTACACAATTACCAATAAAAGGCCAGATTTAAATGCCATAATATCAATGCAAGGGATCATAGTGATTGATAATCGAGTAAAAGGTGGCAGAAAATGGAAACATCGTATTTACTACAGCGGACCCCCGCCTTATGATATTAATCCTCTCCTGAGAGCTCATCGTAAGCCGAAATTATCCTAAGGCGAATTAATTTTCCCCATGAGAAATAATGGAAATCAAATTAATCCGTTCCTGACACCCCAAAGTATGAAAATTTTTTTTTTTACCACATGAAATATTAATTTTAATACACACAAACTGAAGAAGGCATGCACAATTACTATTCTACTAAGAATAGAATACATGACACTTACCTTTATTGAAGATCTGGTGATGACTGATGGGATGGGAGGAGGGGAGAGAGTGGAAGTTGTTATTGTTTAGAAGAGGAATCCCCTTCCATTAGGACTTGAGGTAGCAAGTCCTTTTCCAGGGTTACTTCCCTTCTTCTTTTAATGCCACTAGGACCAGCTTGAGAGTCACTGGACCTCTGTCGCACAACAAACCTGTCCATAGAGGTCTGTACCTCCTGTTCCTTTAAGACCTTCCCAAAATGGGCCATAACAGTGTCATTGTAATAGTCACCAGCACGGCTTGCAGAAGCCGTGTCAGGGTGATTTTCATCCGCAAAGGTTTGCAGTTCAACCCACTTTGCACACGTTTCCTTAATCTTTGAAGTAGGCAACTTCCTCAATTTCTCTCTCCCCTCCTCTGAAGCAGTTTCCTCAGGTCTGGCCTCCTGCTGTTGAAGATGATCTTGCAGCTCTTCAGTGGTTAGTTTTTCATTGTCCTCCTCCACCAACTCTTCCACATCCTCCCCACTAACCTCCAACCCCTTGGACTTTTCCAATGCCACAATAGATTCCACAACTGGCATAGGCTCCTGAGGGTTAGCCCCAAACCCTTCAAAATCCCTTTCTTCTACACATTGTGGCCACAGTTTCTTCCAAGCAGAGTTCAAGGTCCTCTTAGTCACTCCCTCCCAACCCTTACCTATAAGGATTACACCAGTGAGGATGCTAAAGCAATCTTTCCAAAACTCTCTTAGAGTCAATCGAGTGTCTGAGGTCACTTCAAAACACTTTTGAAACATAGCTTTTGTGTAGAGTTTTTTGAAGTTTGAAATGACCTGCTGGTCCATGGGCTGCAGGAGAGGAGTGGTATTAGGAGGCAAAAACTTGACCTTAATGAAGCTCATGTCCCTAGAAAGTCACTCTGCCAAGTCTGAAGGATGACCAGGAGATTTGTCTAATGCCAGGAGACACTTAAGGTCCAATTTATTTTCCATTAGGTAATTTTTCACAGTGGGGGCAAATGCATGGTGTAACCAGTCATAGAAAAGGTCCCTAGTGACCCATGCCTTACTGTTTGCCCTCCACATCACACACAAATTAGCATTGACATTGTTTTGCCTGAACGCTCTGGGAGTTTCAGAGTGATACACCAATAAAGGCTTCACTTTGCAATCACCACTAGCATTAGCACACATCAGAAGAGTAAACCTGTCTTTCATAGGCTTATGTCCTGGGAGTGCCTTTTCCTCCTGAGTAATGTAGGTCCTGCTTGGCATTTTCTTCCAAAACAGGCCTGTTTCATCGCAATTAAACACTTGTTCAGGTTGCAATTCTTCACTGTCTATGTAATCCTTGAATTCCTTCACATATTTTTCAGCTGCTTTTTGGTCCGAACTGGCAGCCTCACCATGCCTTATCACACTATGTATGCCACTACGATTCTTAAATCTCTCAAACCAACCTTTGCTGGCCTTAAATTCACTCACATCACCACTAGTTGCAGGCATTTTTCTAATTAAATCCTCATGCAACTTCATAGCCTTTTCACATATGATCGCTTGAGAGATGCTATCTGTTTTTCATTTATCCACACCAATAACAGTCTCTCAACATCTTCTATCACTTGCGATCTCTGTTTCGAAAACAAACTTGCACCTTTTGCAAGAACAACTTCCTTGATTGCCGTTTTGTTGGCCACGATAGTAGCGATGGTTGATTGGGGTTTGGTATACAATCTGGCCAGCTTCGAGACATGCACTCCACTTTCGTACTTAGCAATTATCTCTTTCTTCATTTCCATAGTAATTTTCACCTTTTTTCCCCCCACAGGGTTGGCACTAGAAGCTTTATTGGGGCCCATGGTGACTTATTTTGCAGCTACAATCACTAAAAACACTGTGATAATATGAAATGTGCTGAATGTATGCGTGGATGCAACCGCACTGGCTGGCTTGTAAACACTGGCACGCACGGGGCAGCTGAGGCCACGTGTGGGATGCGTCCTGGACGAATCACGGAGGCGAGTTTTTTAGCGTGAGGCAAGGCAAAATTTTTGAGTTAAAATGTATCGTATGGTGGATTTAACGTAACGCGATGCCATCGTAAGGTGGGGGTCCACTGTATATGTTCTACAGAAATGTCTATTATTGTTAAGATAATGACAAAACAATGTCATTATATGAATTTAAAGGACAAGCAACAATACTGGACACCTCTCCCTTATTAGCACATTAGTTTTAGAATACAAATAATTTGATTAACTTTCCATCTATTTTATCTATAATTCTGTAGTCTGCCAGGGCATTTAAACTCATTAAAAAAAGAAATACAAACCTCTTCATCTTGAGTACGTGCAATTTCAATCATATGCTTGGCAGCTGGATGTTGGACCGTGATTTCTCGCAAAATGGCATTTCCATCGTTAGTCATTACAATGCCACCCATGGGATCCATCAACATCTTCAACATCGACCGTGGTCCAAGACATGTACGAATAACATCGGCTATCATCTGAAAAGAAATTAAAATTTCTTCTCCATATACAAGCCAAGATGGTTCTGTAGTCACTACCCTTCAAGCCCAATCTCTCACTAAAACCTTTGTACATACAGTACATGTATATATATATGATGCAGTATTGGGATAATTATATTTACAATAAATATACACAAAAAAATCTAGAAGACACATCAAGTGCATCAAAAAATATTTTCATATAGGCGTTGATGTGGAATATTTTATTAATATGCAAAAGCACAGTGGAGAGTGCTACACATGACAGCAAGTTATCTCAGCCAGTGGTAAATGAAGATCAATTCTTATACTACCAACTGTACAGTACTTCCCACCTCCAACTCACCAGTTCCCTGAATCTCCTCATAAATAACCTTTCTCAAACTTTAACAGGAAGTCAATCCATAAAAACCACTTTTCTTCACTTAACAATATGTGGTTGCAGGGGTTGAGTTCTAGCTTCTGGTTTGGCCTCTCAACTTCCTGTTTGCCTGATTCATCCCCTCCTAGCTTTGTGGGTACTATTGTACCTGCTCTTAAAACTTTGTATGAAGCCCCTAGCACTCAAAAACTCTCTTTACCTCTACCTCTTACATTTCCTGGGACAACCCCCCCCCCCAAGTCTCCTACTCTCCACCCAATATTTATACACTCGTTTTGTAATCCTATCATACTCTTATCCTCTCTAAATACCCAAACCTTTCCTCTGACTTGAAGTTTTTTGTAACCCCAAATCATCTTCTAATCTTCACACTAATTACTCTCAAAAAGTAACAGGTATCAAGTCAATAAGTCAGCACTGTACAAGAAGCACTGTGCTGCCATGTGTGTCATGGACATTTACTCTAAAAAAAAATACAATACAAGCTTATTTCAACATTATACATTATTTACACAGAAATGGGCAACACTGGAGAGCACGTTGCAAGCCCATCATTATGCAGAGCATTTCGGGTAGCAAACACTATTGCTGCATTGCATAAACCAAGCAACACAAAACAAGTTGTCTGGACCCTAGATTTTCACCTGACATTCTTACAATATATTTGAGGAGATTACTAGTTAGGTAAGGTTGGTTATTTCACTCACATTATAAAAATATGGGATGCCATTAATCAAGTTGACATAGATGTATCAACACAACAAAATAATCAGGAAAAAATATAATACAAGAAATTCATAGTGATTAAGGTAGAAAAAATTAGTGCCTGAAATATACCAAATGCTAATGGCTTTCTTTTGTGTCTAACAATATTTTATTACACATAAACTGCCCGTATACTGCAGAGAAGAAATAAATTTATTGTAATATCTTGACAACACATTTTTAACTGACAGTTCATAGAGGGGCAATTTTTATCCATCCGGTGCATAAAAGATGCCCGGGAGGTGAGAGTAATGTGAAGAACATTAATATTTACCTTGCCAGCACTGATGTTCTGTAGCTGAACTTTACGTCCACTTTCACGTTTAGTGTTCTGATCTGCAAGACAAATATTATTTGTAGGGGGAAGAAATAGTTTACTATACAGTACTTATACGAGGTGTAAGTATATAAAAATATTTAGGTACAGGTACATCTAAGTACAATTATCATGCATAGTTCAACAAATGTGTTAATTACTCAGAAGAGCCAAAAAAAAAAAATCAGCGAGACTTTTTTCCATTAGAGTCTTTGAGGTGGTAAACCCAAGTGGGTAACTCACCAGTGCTGGTGACTTGATCCTCCAACTATTAATTGTGACACATCATGTTACTGTCACCCAGGATGCAAGTGCTAAACCCTCAGGGGTTAATGTATGAGGGATGTTAGGTAATTAGGTTTGATCCAAGGGTCAGGAGCTCGTGACTGGCTCAAGGCATCTCCTCCCTACAAGGACTAACATTTTGTCTCACTCAAATTTAACCAATATAATCATTACTATTATAATATTCCCACGGAAGCGTTAAACCCGCAGGGGTAATCGCAACGAAGTAATGAAAGGGTAATTAAATATTATCCAAGGTGTTGGTGGCTCTGTACCTTTGATCAAGAGCCCTTCACCAGAAAGGTATCTCCAATTATGTAAATATATAAAAAAAAAATTGATTTGTCAATTAAGTGTAAGAAGGCGGTGCCGAGACAGCTCAATTAAACACCAAATATACGTTATTTTCTAATAATAAACATTACTATAATGCATCAGAGAGTGAGTTTATATGTGTACTGTGAAGAACTTACTGAGAACAATGATGGGTTGACCTCCAGCCATCATCATGGTGATATATAAGAGACAGTTGTAACAAGATCAGTAACAACAACACGAGGCTGACCCACCACTCCCTCCCCCCCTCTCCTATATCACTATTTCTTATATATTTTTATTATTACTGCTATAATTTACGGACTTTAATTTAGCTAAACTAGGTTTGTATAGTGCAGTGTATGTTTTTTTTTTAATTCATAAAGGCGAGGCTTGGGAAGTTTGTAGATATGACTCACTTTTTTGTGTTTGATCTCAACTTGGAATATTCTAGAAGTATCTGGAATAATTATTTTATGACTTTATGACGCAAAGCACTTCATGTATTTAAGATAATAATACATTTTTTAATTATTGTATATTGTAAAATTCTCTCTATGAAAGCCTAGATGAAAAAGTTTTCAAAGATGAAGACTAAGTCAAAACCACTGACATTCTGATAAATAAAAGAGAATTAATATAAAACCCAATATAGTTGTGTTTTTAGTTAACATAATTATAAATTTACACTGGAACACACATTTACATAATTAAGTTGATGGTTATGTAGTTACAAGTGTGGTATATATGAAGATAATAATAAGAATATAGTGTAGGTCCCTGGAGGATCAGCGTGGGTCGTAAACAAACTTTAATGAAGTAAATAACATAAAAGTCACAATAATGTGACTGCAACAATACACATATAACTGGCACATAGGAGAGAGGAGCTTACCACGACGTTTCGGTCCTATTTGAACCATTTACAGTCACACTAACAGGAAGGACAGAAGTGTTTGTTACTTCATTATTATCACTTCTGTACTCAATATTATGTCCAACTGTCATCTCTACTACACTCGTAGCTGTATAGTCCTTGTGCTTAGCGCTATTTTGATCTTATATATAATAATCTCATGTCTCTCATTTGCTCAAGTTTTCTCATTGTAAGCTTGTGTCTCATTGTAATCTTATCTCATTGTAATCTTGTCTCATTGTAATCTTGTATCTCAATTGTAATCTTGTATCTCATTGTTATCTTGTATCTCATTGTTATCTTGTATCTCATTGTAATCTTGTCTCATTGTAATCTTGTCTCATTGTAATCTTGTGTCTCATTGTAATCTTGTGTCTCATTGTAATCTTGTGTCTCGTAATCTTGTCTCATTGTAATCTTGTGTCTCATTGTAATCTTGTCTCATTGCAATCTTTTATCTCATTGTAATCTTGTATCTCATTGTTATCTTGTATCTCATTGTTATCTTGTATCTCATTGTAATCTTGTGTCTCATTGTTATCTTGTTTATGGTGTGAGTTCTCATCAAGGACCCCAATGGGAATAAGTCACTGACTTTTTTTGGGTCATCCTAGGTAATCTACACATATGTTACTATGTATGATCATTTATGTAACTGTTTTTATATGTACCTGTACCTGAATAAACTTACTTACCTTTCAGTACCTTGGAACAAACCTAAGCTTGAAGAATGAGACACTTGTGAAACATTTAGGATTCTTTATTGGGGAAAGGCTTCGGCAGCCAGTGGCTTCTTCAGTCCAGTGTTAAGAAGAACGGTGGAAGCAGAGAAGTGTGAGGTAATCAATCCCTCAAACTGAACATGTTGACTCCTGGCTGACAGACTGATTACCTCACACTCCTCTTCTTGGACTGAAGAAGTCACTGGCTGGTGAAATAAAAATTAGTATAGAATTAAAAAACCTGTTAACCTCAATGGAAGGATAACTTCCATGTAACAGACTCATTTTAAGAGACTTTCTTTCAACAAACTTTCCATGTATTAGACATTCCATATAAGACACATTTTCCTTAAGACAGACTTTTCATATAACAGACCTTCCATGTAACAAATATTTCATGTAACAATTCTTCCATGTAACAACTTTCCATGTAACAGACTTTCCATGTAATAAATCTTCTGTGTAACAGAATCCATGTAACATCTTCCATGTAACTTATCTTGCATGTAACATACCTTCCATGTAAGAGACCATGTAATACAGTAATGGAATTGAGAAATTAAATTTTCTTGTATAGTCATGGCTCTGTAAAGGGGACATTTTATGATGATATGTATATGAGGATATCCCCACTAACCTTTTCTTTTTCTTTCATTCAGATAGTATAGGCATTTTCAACCCTCAGATGCTAAGAGGTTCAATATAGCTTACACTGTTGTGGCTTTTGACTACAAGTGCACCAACACCATTTATCTCATCGAAGAGCCTATAACTTTACAAAAACCTCATCACCACGGTCAACATGTCTGTTCACATAGAGAAGCGACGCTATGACTGCTCGGCATTACCAAAAGGCTGGAAGAGAGAAGAAGTACTAAGAAAAACAGGCCTAACCTCAGGAAAAGTTGATGTATACTACTATAGGTGATAAATACTTTTCTATCTGTTATTGATTTGCTGAATTATCAGTTTAAGTACAGAAAAAATTTCCTTCATAGAAATCCTCTAATTATTTGTGTAGAAAATTATTTTTGCAATGTGTGTCAATCACTGTAGAGTAGCTGTGGATTTTTTTCAATTTCCATTGCAGAAAATATACAAAGCTCTAGAAAATATAAATATGTATTAGAGGGGTCTCTCTCTTATATGCTTAAGAAAATCCAGCACAAAGATCTAATAAAAAGATCAATGCTTCTATTTTTAATGTAATCCCAGACAAGAAAGGCTGATATTTTACTGTCTTGTCATATCTTGAGTGTGGTAAATAATCACAGTACTCTGCCTCATTTATAGTGAGTTCCTTCCTGCATGACCCCAGTCAGTGGGGCAAATCTGCCATCAATCAACACACATTTGCAGATAGTTCTGCTGCAACTAGAGCAGTCCCTGGACACCTGTGGTTACAGTATACAACTCTATGCAAGGTGTATATTCCATGTATATTTCAACTTTTTCTTTCTGTCTACCCTATCTTTCAATTATGACTCACAAAATCATAATAACACAATTGAAAAATAAACTACAAAAGATGGCTTAAACGGGCCTGAAGTTTTATGACCCTCCCCCCAGGGGTTCAGATTCACCCCCCATTTTTTTTTTTTTTTTTTTTTTGTAAATTTTAAGGTTTGGAGGAAGAGTTTGGAGAAGGGAAATGAAAAATTTGGTTTGGGGGGGAAGGGGGGATTTAGAGTGGATAGGAATTTGGAAAAAATGTTTGGTGCGATGGATGGATTAAGAAATTTTTTTTTTTTTTTTTTTTCCTTCTGTCATGCCCTTTTTTCCTCCTTTTTACTTTTTTTGCTCCCAGCCTGCCCCCTCTCCCTTTTTCTCGCCCAATTTTTTTCCCCCAAAATTTCTTCCCCCCATTTTTTCCATCCATTTTTTTTTCTACCTTCCCTTTTTACTACCCCCCCAACTATCTCCCCCCCCCCCCTCCCAAACATTTGATGTTATTTTGCAAAATAAATTAAAAATTTTACCACACCAGGGACCGACTATCAAGTGAGGGGAGGCATGGGGTGAATATAGCGATTAAACCACACCCCAGATTGACAAAACATTTGAAATACTGTTTCTGGATTTCACTAAAAGGGATTCATCCAAATAAGAGCAAAAATTATTCATATCATAAAATTTCCCAAAATTTGGTTTTTCTGCATTTTGGAAGTTGCTGTGCCACAGATTCTAAAAAATCCTCTAAACTATTTTGTACATTTTTTAGATTGTGCAAAAAATCTAAGTGTTTATTATTTTTTTTGCCCCAGTGGAAAAAAATTTGGGAGTAACCCCCGTTGACACCTACCTTGGAATTCAGTGGATCATCTCTTTTGACTTCGAACGGGAAAAATCAATCCTATGCTTGCAAGAAAAAAAAAAAAAACCAAGGGGGACATTTTTTGTTTTATAGGTGAGGTGATATTAGTTTATGTATGCCCTAAAAATGTTAACATTTATACCCTATACTACTGATGCAATTATTTTGAATTTATATACATGAAAACTTGTACGGGGGCCCTACAATGAAAAAGTTAAAACTTCTAACTTACAAATGAGTTGCTTTTAACTCAGAATCCCTTTGCTTTAGAAAAAAGTACGGTACAAAGATTGTTTCTCACAAAATTTTAAATTGTTTACTATTAATTAAAAACAGTTTTGATATTTTTTATTGGGCCTCATTCATAAGTGCGGAAAAGTTAGAAATGAGGTGTTCACAAGTAGTTACCCAGTCCCGTATCTTTATCCTAAGGTAAAATAAAAAAAATTATTTTTTCCTTTTACACCCTCGGGGATGCGTAATGTGCTTTCCCTTAGTGCCTCCTTCCCCAAAAGCCCCAATATTCAAGCAACCATTAAGTCTAAAAACTCAACCATCAATAAGGTGAAAAAAGGGTATGAAGCATGGGGCCAGGATAAACCCAAAGCAGGTAAAATTTCACCTAGTTTTATTTCCTTTATTTGTCATATTAAGGCAGACTCCACCCGGGCACCACTTTGGCATATTTTTTTTTACAGTATAGTCTTTTGTACTGTGGGGGACAAAAAACTTTGTCCATGAAAAAAAAGAGGGGAATGATAGATTTTTTGTACCCAAAACCCCTTTTATGGGTGTGAAGCAGGTTATGGGGTTTTTCAATGAGGAGAAGGCTGGAGGTAGGGGGAGTCATTTTTGAAACAATGTGGGTGTGAATATCATGCAAAGAATTCGTAGTTTGGAAAATTTGGGGGTGTGGGATTACCAAAACTATTTTCCAGAGGGGTGAGGGGGTTCGGACAGTAAGGAATGGGGAAAAAAACAGAATGCTTCGAGAGTGAAAATCTGTAGGAGGGAAGGGGGGGTAGGGGTCAGCCTATTAAGTTGGAGGGGGGGGTAAAAAATTTTGTGTGTGAGGGGGTTGACTTCCAGCAAGCAGCATAGCATTTTGATAGGAAATTTAAGGAGACAAAGGGGTTTTTAAAAACTTGACGTGCTGTGGAGTGGAGTAAAGAACATTTATGAAGGAATTCAGGGAAAACCGCGAGCTGGACTTTATCCTGGAGATGGGGAAAACATGTCTCATTTTGAAGGAGGGGGGTTAATGTTCAGTTTTATAAAGAAAGTAAAGCACCCCTCTGGCAAGACGTGAGAGTGAAAATAAATTTTTCTTTTTTT